GCGTCCTGGAGCAGCTTGAGCAGCTCCTGCTGCCGAACCGGACGGATAGGCAGACGTGCGCAGGGATGCCCTGGACCCCCAAAGTAGGGTTTTAGGGTTTAGGGTTTAGGGTTTTAGGGTTTGGGGTTCTAGGGTTTGGGGTTTTAGGGTTTGGGGTCTAGGGTTTAGGGTATGGTTTAGGGTTTAGGGCTTTAGGGTTTAGGGTTCTGGGGTTTAGGGTTTAAGGGTTTAGTTTTAGTGTTTTAGGGTTTAGGGTTTAAGGCTTTAGGGTTTTAGGGTGTAGGGGTTAGGGTTTAGGGTTTAATGGTTTAGGGTTTTAGGGTTTAGGGTTTAAGGCTTTAGGGTTTTAGGGTGTAGGGTTTAGGGTTTAGGGTTTAAGGGTTTAGGGCTTAGGGTTTAGTTTAGGGTGTCGGGTTCGATCCTGCCCCACACAACTTCTTTAGGCTTGCAGCACGGGCTTTAAAAAGGGTCAATTATCCTGTAAGCTAGTTTACGGCCTTGTGGTTGGTATTGCTGTATATTTGGTTTGATAATACCTTGACTAAAAAGTGTATGGTTCCAGGGCTTATCGACAGTCTGAAGGCACCATAGGGCTTTCATGGCCTACTGCAGGGCTCCACAGCTTGGAAACACCTGCGCACGTTCGTTGTTGATTCCTGCTCATCCCCTTCGACTTAGACACACCCCGGGCTCAAACCCTAAACCCTAAACCCTGAACCCTAAACCATAAACCCTAAACCCGAAACCCGAGCTTACAAACATGACCGTCCAAAGCGCGACCGCCACGAGGCTGCACGCGACGAGGACAAAAGCGCCTGGCGAGTTTCAGGAATTGCAGGGGCATTAACTGGGTTGGCCTTTAAACCCTTTGAAAAATATGAATATAAAGGGCCCCCTTATAAAACCAAATAAGGAAAATAAAAAATGTCCCAAAAACCAACCTAGTTAAGAACTAGAACAGAAGAAGGCTTTGTGTAGTGCCTCGAGTCTATGGCTCTGCACCAGAAAACTGAATCGAAAGCAACAAAACTCCAGGGAAGGTGTGGTAAACTACAAGGTATCGTGTACATTCCCCATGAAGCCACTCGACAGAGCGCTACAATTGATGATGCCGATCCCAACCCTAAACCCTAAACCCCAAACACCAAACCCTAAACCCTAAACCCTAGACCCTAAACCCTAAACCCCAAACACCAAACCCTAAACCCTAAACCCTAGACCCTGAACCCTTTTCTTAGGGGTGACGGGTTTGAGGCCCAGGCAAGAAACCCAAAGGCCTCGACTTTCACCTCAGGATTCCGAGCTGACTCAACCCGTAAACCTTACCCAAGGCTCCAAAGGACCCAATAATCAGGTACTTAGGTTTCGGATAGTAGTTATGGTTTAGGGTTTAGGGTAAAGGGTTTAGGGTTTAGGGTTCAGGGTTTAGGGTTTAGGGTACTATCTGGGAGAGTATAGGATTCTTAGGCACTTGGACCCTTAGGGTTAATCCCGAAACCCAGAACCTTAAAGCGCTTAAACTCCCTAAACCCCAAACCCTATAAAGCTGAACCCTAAACCCTAAATCCTACGGTCGATGATACAAATCCTGCATTACCTATAATAATAAGGAATATACCCATAATTCCCATAGTTTAGGGTCCTTCAGGCATTGCAGGATGTATATCATCAGCAGTAGTTGAAGCCTTCGGGCTCAAAACTTTGACGTTTGAGGCTCTCTTCAGAGTTTAGGGTTTCAGCTTTAGCGCTTTTTGTAAACCATGCAGCATTCTGGGTCGGGGCCTCTGGTTTTAGGGTTTGGGGTTTTAAACTCAAGAGCTGCTGGTCTGAAGTTGTTTTGGCAAGGGGACTAATGTTTAGGGTTTAGGGTTTAGGGTTTACGGTTTAGGGTTTAGGGTTTATGGTTTTTTTAAGTGCACTAAGTGCACTAGCCCCTTTCTCCCGCCAAAGCTCGCCCTTTCAGGGCCTGCACATCCGACCTCAAGGGTCACCAGCTGTAGAAAAAGGGTTTAGGGTTTAGGGTTTAGGGTTTAGGGTTTAGGGCTAGAGCTTGGCGGCCTGTAGTCTGCTCCCACCCTTCAAGGGCACCTTAGGCCCTACGCCCTGAACCCCAAACCTTAGAAACCCCAAACTCTAAACCGGAAACCTTAAGCCTTAAGCCCTAAACCAGAAGCCCTACAGGGTTTAGGGTTTAGGGTGTAGGGGCCCTTCACCGTGAACCTTTAACCTTCAACCAAAACCGAGACCACACGCGACCCTGACGAAGTCTCACTCAAGGAAGTTCATGGCTCGTCAGTTTTTACCTGGACCCCTCAGAACCTACCTTTCTAAGGACTTATATAAAGAAACCAATCATAATAAGGAGCCCCAAAAAGAGCCCTTATCCGGCGACCGAGGGAGGGCCTACTACTCTAGCGGTCGGAATAACTACAGCACTGTTCACACAATATAGGGGCTTTCATAGTTCCCGATAATATTTTGGGGGTTCCTTATTATAATTATAGTAAATTATACCCCCCAAACCCTATGCTAACTACTGAACCCTAAACCCTAAACCCTAAATCCTAAACCCTAAACCCCAATGCTAACTACTAAGGCCTCTATGTTAATATCCTGCAAAGCCCTTTTCGAATCAGGCCAGGAGGTGGCCCGAGACTCATGCTGCAAGGCGAAGAATGTCGTGGAGTCAATTCGGAAATCCCAAACCGGAACCCTAAACTCTAAACCCTAAACCCTAAACCCTAAACCCTAAACTCTAAACCCTAAAACCCTAAATCCTAAAACCGTAAGCCCCAAACCCCCTAAATCCTACGTGAGGGAGGAGG